CTGGGGGTTGGTGGTGCTGGGATGCATGGCTAGGGCAGGCGGGAGCAGCGGGAGGCAGGATAGATGCACGGACAAGGGGATACAGGGACGAGGGGTTGAGGACAGGACAGCACAGCCCAGGACAGGACAGCCCAGGACTGTTCCCCGAGCTGCGGGAGGGGGATAAGACCGTGGTTTTGCAGCGGAGCTTGGGCTGTTGCGGAGCTTTGCCGGGCTCTGGGTGCTCTGTCCATCTTTCTGAGCTCCATCTGCAGCTCCCAACACCCCGCGGGATTCACCTCCATCCCTTCACCACGAGCTCCCCGCCCCAGCTACCCTCCCACCGCCCCTTTGTGCTGCGACTGAGCTACAAAGGCAGCGAGGGTTGGTGCCGGAGCCCTGCCTTACAGGCTGCTCTGTTCTGCCATAATCATGCCTGTTTTTCCCCGTCTTAAAGCTTCAAAGCTCCGTTGGCTTTAAGGGACCGGCAGTGTGTGCCAGCCCCAAGCAGGGTGTGCAGGATCAGCCCTCGAGTGAGGTCTGTGAACGCCCTGCTTGTCTGTGGGGTCTCTGGAGGCAGGAGACCCTTTCCCTGTGCAATGGGAGCTCCTTGTGCCTGGCCCTGGCAAAGCCTGGAGCAGGGATGGCCACCCTAGGCCCTCAAATGGGTGCAAAACCACGTGCCCAAGCGTGCTGCAGGGGCAGTGGCATTGCCTCTCCCTCCGGCTCGCCCCAGAACGGTCCTGCTGAGCCTTGGGTGCTCCCTAAATGCGTGTTATTCTTTCCCACAGAGGATGGACACCTCATCACTCCCAAATCTGTGAGCCAAGCCTTGTGCTCCCCACACCCTGCCCCACCCCTGGAGCCCCTCGCCAGCACGACCAGACCCTTCCCACCCAGGCAAAGGGCTGGTGCAGCCCTTACCTCCCAGCCAGGCTGAGCTAGAGGCTCTGTGAGCTCTCCCCAGCTCCTGCACTGCAGGAAAATGGTCTGGGACAGCAGTGGCTGGGAACACCAGAGAAAGCCCCCCTTCCCTGTGGACCGTGGCAGTGGGATCAGGCTCCCCAGGGATGCAGCTGGTGACCACGTCAAGCCGTGCCGGGCGGGTGGGTGACAATGGGTGACGTCAGGGAGCGGCCCGGAGGGTGCCCGTGGCTTATCAGCCCCCACCCGCGTGTTTGCCCAGCGGTGCCCGGGCGGGATGGCTGATGGCTGATGCCTGATGCCTGATGCCTGATGGCTGATGCCTGATGGCTGCTCCTGCCCGGGCACTGCCAGTGGGAGTGTTCAGAGAGAGGAGAGGGAGTTCTAGGGAGCCGGTGCTCCCACACCTGCTCCCGCAGGGTGTCCCGAGGCTGCCGGCCCGGGGAGGGGGTGGGTACAGCCACGGCACTCCCCTCGCCAGTGCTGCACCGTGCCAGGGGCTGGGGACCCCATCTCGGCACCGGGGGACAGCTCAGCACGGGGTGCTCAGGGCAGGGGGCAGGAAGGGCTCCGAGGGAGCTGTGGTCACCCCAAGAACAGGAGAGCAGGGCAGCTCTGTAGCAGGGCTGTGCCTGTCTCCAACCCCCATCGCCTTTGTCCCCACTCCCTGTGCGTCCCCAGCACTGGTGGCAGAGTCCAGGCACTGTGTCAGGCCCATCCTGCTGTCATGGGCAGGCTGCCCTGTGTCCTCTGGCCATCCCGGGTCCCCGGGCATCCTGCATCCCCCAGCTATCCATGTCCCCTGGCCGTGTTCTGTGCTGCCCCAGACAGCCCTGCTGGCACATCCCACTGCCAAAGCAAAACCAGGACCTCTGGCACAGCCTCCTTGTGATCTGAGCTGATTCTCACTGTCACCATCCTCAGCCCCTCAGGTGCTGTGTGGGCCAGCAGGGCCACAGGCCATGAGCAGAGACACAGGGCACCCCAGTGCCCCATTCACAGTGACAGTGCTGCCATCCAAGTGCTGTGGGGCTGGCCCAGCCATTCTCCGCACAGCATGTCCACCTTTGTATGCACAGGTTCCAAAACCCCTCCCGAGGCTGGTCAGGGAGCCCAACATCCACCTCGGGGGGGCATAAGGATTGAGATGGGGGGGGGTT